GATGACGCCTACCTTGGAGCGGCGCGTTATAATTCCTTGACTCCTGCGATCAAGCAAATTTGAAAGGTAATGTCATTGACACGCGTACAGCTTCTGACCACACGCCATAGGTAGGTTGTGCCAGCCAATCCGAGATAGTGCAGACAGAAGCAGAATTATGCAAGCAATACTGCAATACGATTGGTGGAAGCCTAGATAACCAATAATCTTCTTCTGTACATATTATTTATTCGACTTCATTTCTTCCAATAAACGAACTACGAACTACCATTCTTATAACCTTTTCCTCGCGTCTCGGTCAAGTAGGATATTACGAGCTCGTGGTATTGCGGTCCAACGCTTCCGTAATACAGTCCATGATAGCTGATCTTTGATTCGTGTCCTGTGGTTCCAATTGCGTGGTTCGTGTTCCGAATTCTGTGCGTATTACTACCACTACTATTACTACGATCATTACACCAACTCCCTTGTTTCCCTGTAAGTCCCCTGGGATAGGTGCTTGTCAGCTGATCACCGTATTGGACGCTGTAAAACAAATAACCACAGAAGGAACGTCGCAACATAATCTACAATGTCGTTCAGAGCATGGCTGATTGTCCGTCCGCGTAGATCCTGCTTAGAAGATGGCAAAAGCATTTCAAGCGTGTTCCCTGTTTAGAACAAGATTTCAGGGGCGTAATTGTGTTCAGTAAATCAGAGTCCTGTCGCTACAATTCACAACAGAGGATGAAAACTAGTTAACTGGAATAGAATAACATTGAAATGAATGAATGGGATCATTATGTGTATCCATATACACATATATGTCAGGTGAACATAAAATTCGCAGGTATGTGCTTTCGGGACTTGGCAGTTATATCAAGTTTCCATTTCATCTGTTCGCCCTGTGCATGACAATTTGTTTGCAAACGATTCGCCACCACCACCAGCGGACTTGACTTCATCAGTGCTTATGAAGTGGCAGTGTTCTGCTTATGTTTATGTGTTCTTCTTCACCGATTGCTTTTGTACCTTGACTTCACTGTGTTCCACTCGGTTCTCTGTTGAACTGATGGGAGTGGATGATAGTGGGCTGGTTTATATTCTGTCTTGATTGCGGGGTTTGGTCCGTTAGCAGACGAAGACGTGATCTTTCTTTGCGTCATTTGATCATTGAGTTGTAATAGCGTGCACACGTGATTCAGTGTGGTGACATCATCGCTCAGCTGGTAAAGCATGCGCTGTACAAAAGCGTAGGTGGCGTACCCGCGTGGGGTCTAAACCCACCGAAGTTAAAAAACTTTACACAATTTCAACATAAGACTCCAATCTACCAAACAAGAATTTGATTGAAGAGTGGGGAAGAACACGTGTAAACGAACGGGTACAAGCAGAACTCTGCCACTTCATAGGCACTCACGATATTACTACCGCGTCCTGGGGAAACGTTTTCAAACAAATTACCAAGCTCTGCGAACAGGCGAGATGGAATTCAGTTGACCCGGGCTTATGTCAAACTTTTCGTGTGACCAAATACCGCAGAATCGGTGTTATTGTGTGTGTGTGTGTGTGCGTGTGTGTATGTGCAAGAGGGATTGGTGCACTCAAGAGAGATGGAGATTAGACACTTTCGGGGCTTTTGGGTCTTGGGGTCAAGTGTTCAATACAGATGTTAAAGGCCATGGCTAACGTGCGCCTTCTAGCATATTGAAACCGATTCGGTGGAACTCGAGACGTAGTTTTGAATGTATCACTTGTGTTATTTAACACGACGGCCAATATCAATCAAATGTGCGAGAACCTTACCTGAGACCGAGTCAGAACTACATCGAATCAGTTATCACGGATGATGTTTCTTCCACAAAGATAGATAAATATGATATAAACCGTAACAGCATCACTATGAACTACTGAATCAATTGTTTATCGGAAACACTGTTCTAGATGCGAGCATGGGAATATTTTGAGATGTTTTTGTGTGTTCATGAGAGTGTTCCGGTAAGGATATTTGTGGTGGAATTAGTGAGGGTTTTTTTCGCCCAGCAGGGACACCATAGATTTGTTCACATCGATTGGTTCATTTTGCTTTCAGTCCACTCATTTCTGTCCAGCCGAGCATTGATTGCGTTCATTGCTCTACCTTGTCTATGCCATCGTCTTTTCATTCAACAATTTACAGTTGACCTGACCCAGTGAGCCTATCGCGTGAATCAGTGGAGTTCTCCACGCTTGGTAACTTGGACTGTTGACAGGCATGACATCTCGTATCCCTGTCATCCGTTCTGTCAATCAGTTCCTGATTGGCTCATTGTACTGGTACAATGCACTTGGATGATCGGATGACCATCATCAACGTGGCTTCTGACTGCAAGTGCCTCTCTCTCGTTCTGTGTGTGTGTGTGTAGAGATGTGTTTCCGTTTGTGTATGCTCACCTACCGACCTTTGGCCTTGCTTTTCTGACTGGATTTGCTGCATTCTAGTGTGACTGACTCCCTTTCTTTTATCGCATATCCCCTTCTCCAGTCAAACCGCATCGGTTTGACATGATTTCGTCTCTTGCTCACTCTGTTAGTTTCAGAGATGTCCAGGCACAAAG